TCCCTCCTTCCTTATTACCTTTGCTATTTGCATGTTCTCAAGAACGCATTGTCCTCTTCGGGTGTCAGACTTGTCCAGGGCACCCAAAGGACAGACCCTGGCTTTCGACAAGCTTCCTTTCCACCCTCACCACGCGGGAACTGAACAGAGCGAGGTGTGGCAAGACCAAAACAGATCCAACAGGAGAACCCCTTCCAAATCTACCCCCACCCAAAGGCAAGAGTTCGTTCAGATGCCCTGCCAAGGGGAGGGGTGGGGGGGACTGGGTGGGGGGGGACCCTCTTCAGCCCGTGCAAAGTTAAGGAACAGCTTACTGAGTTTATGGAGAGAGATGCAAACAGTGTTTTGAATAAAACCCCTTTGTTATTGTTGTTTTACAGGGCTGTAGCCAAGGCCAGGAAGAAAACCGCCCCCTCGGAAGGTTGTTTTTGTGACTGTTCTTTGGACCATTGTTCTAAAAATGGGAAATTACATATTGCTGTGCCAAAGTAAACTAACACCTGCGGTTAATGGAGTACCTTTCCCGAGGTGGCTTTTAGAGCCCCAGCCAGCCTGGATGCAGGCCTGCTGCATACGTTCCATTGGGTGTGTTTCTCCCCCTCTAAGGGGACCGGGTGTGGGCTTACATTTGTAACCAGGGTGGGCTTTGGCAACTGTGGGGCTCAGGTGATTGTCTTCTACTCATTCACTCAATAAACCTCTATCAAGCATCTATGCTGCGTCAGCCGTGGTGGCTTTCTTTACTCCCTTCTCTGGCATTATTAAAATCACTGGGAGAGGCAGGTGGCTTTGTGGTCAGCATTTTTCAGTTTTCAGAGTCAGTGCATGACTTCTGCCTCCAAATAGAGAGTCGCTAGAGAGAAGCTCAGCACATTCTCTCCTTCCTCTCCTGTCTCCTTTCTTCCCTTCCTTGCTTCCTCTTTCTTCTTTGTTAGTCCACAAAAATTAAAATGTTATTTTTAACATGCCAGTCAATATAGTTCTTTAGGCATATGATTTTTCAAAGTTTCCAGTCACTGAGGTGCAGTCCAAAATTCTTGTTCTATGGTGCTAGACATCAGAAGACACTTGTTTGGTTATCTGGTTAACATTGAACATTTATCAATATTGATATAATTACAAAATAATCAGGTCTTGAGATTTATTGCACATGAAATGAATACATTTAAGATAGATTTGTGGTTTAAAAAGAATCCAGTTTCCTAAGTCAATCTTATTAGACACAAGAAAGAAAAAGGGAGCAGTGGGAAACAATGATTTTCAAACTTTTTGGAATGTGTTGACTTTGTTAAAACTTCCAGTCCATGAAGCACATTTCTCCAATGGGCTGGCCAGGGAGTGACGGCAGATCTTCTTCAGGAGTCAGGGTTATCTCTCGGGAACCACTTGGTTATTGATGTGGCCCCGCCTGGAAGAAGAGAGATGGGATAGAAAGGCTCTCTAGTCCTGTCTTAGGCTCCAAAGGACAGAACCATGATGCAGACTCACATTTGAGTGATGTATTTTCCTTTTGGTTACCTGGAGTTTCTAATTTTTCTTCAATAAATAGCAAGAAAATAAAAATTTGGATTCTGTCTTCATGGGGCTCATGAGAGGGGAGCAGATACAAGCAAATGTGCCACAGTGAGATACATGCATGACAGGGCCCAGGTCAGGTGTGATGGGTGGTAGAGAGAACCCCTGGTCTTCAGGGCATCAGAGGCAGGGTGGGGGAAGGGCCCAAGAGCTGAGTCTTGAAGGCATCTTAAAGTCGCCAGATTTAGCAGATGAAAATACAGGATACCTGGTTACATTTGAATTGTAGATAAATAAGGAATACTGTTTTTAGTACAGGTATGTCCCAAACATTGCATAGGTCATGAGGGATGGAGTTTGGGTCTTCAGGTGACTTTGGGAAGGGGAGGTGCTTCAGTCAGAGGGGACTGACCTGTGGACAAGCTTTATGAAGGTTGGGTGGTGAGCACGGACTTAGGACGAGGAGGCTGTTGAGGAAGCACCCAATAACGCTCCTCGTCAATGGCTCCTCCTCAGGACCCATCTGTCCTCCTCAAGCACTCCCATCCCCCCTCTTCGGCACAGCTACCCTTTCTGTTCATGCAGTGGGCGCAGTACACCGGATTAGATTTTCACTCACTCGATGACACCTGCATTCTAGTTCTGCCCCCTGATGACTCTGATCACCTTGGTGGAGTGCAGGGTGCGGCTGAATTCTTTTCTCCCAGGTAGAGACAATCTCTTGCTTCATCCTCATAGATGGCTCACCCCATCCACTCACTGTCTGTGAATTCACCAGCCTAACTCGGAGGGCAAGCTTATCTCCAAGTCTTGTCCATGCCTGCACCCCCAATGTAGGTGGGGGAAACAGCAGGATTTGAGGCCAGAGTGAGAGGCCGGACCGCCTCCTAGGAGGGGCTCCGGGGCCGGGTGAGGAGTCTGAATTTTATTGACTGGTAGCAGAGAAGGATTTGAAAGAAAAGCATGAAATTACTGTTTGATTTTTGGCAGCCATCGGAAGAATACAGGCAGACCTCAGAGATAATGGTGGATTCGGTTCCAGACCACAGTAATATAGCGGGTATTGCAATAAAGTGAATCTTGCTCTTTTTGCTGGTAGACGGTCTTGCCTTTAGCTGTAAACAAGACAAAACAAAAGAACAACAAGGTAATATCTGTGAAGCTTAATAAAGTGAAACACAATAAAACAAGGTCTGCCTGTATTGTGGAGGGGGCAAGACAAATCTTAGAGCCCGTTTAGGAGGCAGAATAATGGTTCCACAAAGATGTCCCTATCCTAATCCCCAGAACTCGTGACTATGTTAGGTTACATAGGCAAAGGGAAATGAAAGCTGCAGATGGAATTAAGATCGCAAATCAGCTGGATGGGTCCGATGTAGTCACAGGGGTCCTTATAGATAGAAGAGGGAGGCTGAGGAGGAGGCCAGAGTCAGAGAGGGAACAAAAGAGGCTGCACTGCTGATTTTGAACACGGGGAGAAGGGACCACAAGCCAAGGAACGCAGGCGGCCTCTAGAAACTGGAAAAATAAGGAAACAGACTCTCCCCTACAACCTCCAGAAGGAACACAGCCTGCCGACACCTTGGTTTCTAGCCCAGTAAAATCATTCTAGACTTCCGACTGCCAGATCTGTATGATAATAAAAAATTTTTTTAAACCATTCAGTTTGTGGTAATTTGTTACAGTAGCACTAGGTAAGTAATTTAGAGGCTATTTGCAGGAATCTAGGCCATAGATGGTGAAGGCCTGGTATTGGCAATAAGAGTAGAGAGAAGGGGACAAGTTCAAGGTAAATTGAGAAGAAGACGGAGTCAGAGACCCGCTGGACACGTAGGGTCAGTGGGTCAAGAGATCCTTTCTCCTCCCCCGATGCCCTGAGGCCTGCTCCTCATCTCACCTCCCCTGGGGATCCCCTGACCCACATCTTGTTCCTGTCATAGGGCTGAGGGGGTACCTGCTTCCTTTACCAGGGCCACACACAGGGAATTCTAAAGGACGCTCTACAGTTACATGCCTCGCAGTTACATAGGATGACGGGTGCTTCAGGCACGCAACTGCAGATATTTTGAGTTAATTAGACTTTGTGATAGGCTAGGACTCTATTCACGTGATGGGGGACAAATCTGAGTTCCAAACCCCCGGTTTATCCATTTTGACGCTGGTGACCATGCATGCTTAGCTGAATCTATTTTCAGATTTTTTTTTTTGCATGTACTATAATTTTTTTAAGTTTTATAATTTTAGTTTGCTCATGGAAATATGCTGGTGGCTAACTGCTGATGACTCACCCTCACATTGTTCCCATATGCCTGGTGGTGTGTTCTGTAAATAGTGGGGAGGAATAGTCCCTAATTACATGTTTCAGAATGCATTGTTTGTGTGGCCCTATCATCATCAATCAAGGCTTTCTTTATCATCTCTCTGAAGCCATTTTGAACGACAATCACCCTACGGTGAATTACTGCCCACAAATGCCTTGGCATTCGCACATACCATGCCTTGCATCAGCCATAAAGGAGACATAATTTTATCCACATCATCTTGATAAAGTTGATGAGGGTTGGTTTTGCTTCCTCTTCCTGCCTCGTGAATCATTTATAGAGTTTTCTGCCAGGCTAACCTCAACTGGCTCACGTGTTAAGGGTATAAAATGAAGTGCTCCTTTCCATCTATCAATTCATACCATTCTCTGATATACAGTCAGAGCAAGCCCTCAGATTTTGCAACGTGACAGCAATGTTTGAGGAATGACGATGTCTTCTTAACGTTCTTCAAGGCTAAGTGTTCCCTTGGTTGCAGGTTGGGGTGGAGGTCGGGTAACATAATTTTCAAAGAAAATTTTCACCCGGATTCACAATGCAGTTGACAACGTGATCAACAAATGTGATCTTCCCCTGGAATCCTCAGAGATATGAATGTTAAGTAGTGCTAAAAATACACTTCATGTTTTTAATCTTTTTTTTTTGCTTTATTGAGATACATTTTAAGTTTTTTCATTACATAGTTTGTGTCTTCTAATACTTCTCAAATGCAGGAAGCTTATATTCAAACACTGGCCTCTCTGTTTAGAGTTTGGCATAGTCATAGTGAAAAATGACTGATTATATAATTATATATTTGTATGAGGGTGACAAACTTTTTCTCCTCCTTCTTCAAATGTAAAAACCATTCTGAGTCTGCATTTGGCCCGTGGGCTACAGTTTGCGGACCTGTGCTATAACATATGATTAAGCAGATGCAGACAGAAAAGAACCCCATGAGCATTCCTTCATTTTTTTTTTAAAGATTGTATGGATTGGGGAATTGGGGAAGGGAAACAGCCAAGTTGTCCTTCAATCTTAGTTGTGGACGGAACAGCTAGCTCAGCTCCAAGTCCAGTCGCCATCCTGCTGCTGGCGGCAGCAGCTAGCGGCAGCTCAGCTCAAGGTGTCCTGTTCAATCTTAGTTGCGGGTAGGCGTAGCCCACCATCCTATGTGGGAGTTCGTGCTCTCACCAGCTGAGCCATCCTGCCACCTATTGGTAGCTCAGCGGCAGCTCGGCTCAGGTGCAGCTCACTGGCCCATGTGGGAATTGAACCGGCGACCCTGTTGCTCAGAGCTTGTGCTTTTAACCAACTAAGCCACTCGGCTGGCGGCATTCCTTCATTTTTAAACTTTTCTTCTGCTTTCTAGAAACACAGACACATTCACTTTCTGTCATTGTGATCAATTCATCTTGCATTCTGCTCTTTTAAAATGAGGTGCACATTTCTGTGTGTTGACAGCTTCCATTCTTGTGGATCACCTACATCTCCAGCCCCCTTGAGGCAGAGACATTCTGCAATACAGTTGTCCCTCCTTTTATCCCCAGATACCTGTGTTGTATTTGCCATAGGTAAATATTGCCCCAGCTGTGAACAGGTAAGTAAAATTCTGAACCTTTGATGGCCCTGGATCCTTATTCCTTTGAAAAATACTCACCTAGGTGGACAGCTCACCCAGGCAAAGACATGTGAACTAACAATGACCTGGTCGCAGAAGAACCCAGGGTTTTAGCAGTGAGAGACTGGGGGAGCTGAGGGAGGCAGGAGGCCCCCACCTTGGGCCAAGCATCTCTTTTGGCATTGCCTGTCCTCCTGACCTGCTCTGGAATTCTTAAAATCACGGGACCTCCTCCGGGGCAGACAATGAAGGGCAGGTCGCAGTGTCTTTCGAGTTTGTGAGTGCATGAGTGCGCTTTAGGGGTGGGTGGACATTTTCCTTCAGTTTCATTTCATATATTGTCTCAGGAGATTCCTGCATGTGGAATCCCACTCTGTAGGGCAGGGGTTAGGGCTGGGCTCTGGAATCTGGGTTGTGTGAGGAATCTGTAAATGAGAAATTGTGAAAACGCCTGCCAGCGAATAAGCAATCAATAAAAGTAATGATTAGGTTGTGGCTTCTGCTTCCAGACTTTAAAAATGGGCAGATGGAGGTCAAAGATCGGCTCCACCCTAGCCGACTTGATCCTCACTACCTTCTGGGTCAGCTCAGATTCTAGATTCTGTTAGACTTGCCCTTGGAATTGTCTGGGAATGAAAGTATTACTAATTCCAAAAGGGCTGACACATCACTGGCAGGGCTCAACAGGCAGTAACTTTGTGTGACTACCCTTGTTATTCCTCAGAATTCTGATTGGAAAAAAAAAAAAAAAGAAACCTCAAAAATCAAATTAAATCAATCATACAGATGATAAAAGAGCCCTAGAAAGGAACTGTGTTTTATCGTCTGTCCCGCAGACGAGCGGGGCTGTGGCGTGTGGGGTTAGAAGTCCCAAGGGCCGAGCCCCGACGCCCTCACGTCCGCTCCTGGACACCTTGGTCGACACTGCCCTCTACTGGCCGCGGCTGCACCAGGCGCCGAGGGCGGGGAAGGCGGGTCCCCGGCCAGACTAAGTGATATCTTGGAAAAATCCAGACTCTCTTCCTCTCAATACGTTTCTCTTGGGGAGGGTGTGGCCCCGCTGGACCGATTACCACGGGACCGGGGGGGGGGGGTGGTGTTTCTGGGTTTTTATACCGACATGGGACGCATCTTTATGACGAGTTCTATTCTTTGCACATTTTGCTCTAGGACGGTTTTTAAAAACCAATCAACAATACTTTTTGAGCGGCTGATACTGCATGGCCTGTGCAAAGGTGCCGGGGTGGGAAGGAACCCGGGAGGTGGGGGCAGGGGTCGTGGACCGACAGAGGGAGTGAGCCGTGGGAAAGAGGGTGGGAGATAAAAGCCAGTGATGGGCACGTTCTGCATTTTGAGTTTTATGAGAAGAGCGCTGGGAAGCTTTGAAGGATTTCACGTGGGGGTGGGTGGGGTGGCAGTGGAAGGGGGCTTTCACTTGATAAATATTCCTTTGGGCGTGTGTGGAGAATGGACTGCAGGGGCGCTAGAGCATGAGCTGGGAGGCAGTTAGGAGGTCCCTGGGGCCGTGCAGGTGAGACTGCGGTGCGGTGTGGCAGAAGGTGGCCCCGTGCACCTGGAGAGAGTTCTCAGGGGGGCCCTGCAGGGAGACTTTCTTGACGGGAACACGAAGGGGCTGGAGAGGGAGGGGTCCAGATGCCCCTCAAGTTGCAGCTGGAGATTGGAGATGGAATTTACTGAGATGAGAAACAGACAAGGGCGGGGCTCATGACTCCTGCTGGACAAGTGGAGTTTGAGACGTTGGGTAGGTGGTAGGATTATAAGGGGAGGAGATCTAGGCTCTGTTGTGGCCGGTAACAGAGAGCTAGAGCAAAGAAACTGTAAAAGGTTTTGAGTTTTCTCCCTGGATCCAAGGGCAGGGCTCAGTAGGCCTTCAAGAAGGGCATGGGACACTGGAGGAGCCCCAGGCATCCTCTGCCTGACCCCACCCTGCCCAAATCCTGGGTTGGGGGACTCCGGCACTAAAGTTGGCCTGTCAAAGCTACGCTGGCTCACATCATTCCACGTATTTCTTTATGGCTTTAATCACAGTTTTATCTATCCGTTTGTCTACTTGCTGATTTTGTGGGAGCTGACGATCTTCCCCACTAGATTGCCAGCTCCCTGAGCACAGAGGCCACTGTTTTCTTCACTCTGCTGTACCCGGGGCTTAATGCGGTTCAGGCCCAGGGCAAGCGCTTCATGCATACTTGTTGGGTTATGAAATCTGCTCCTGGGTTCCTCAGAGTACTTGGCACCACTGTGAACACATTGAAAGTGCCAGTCAGTACCTAGGGATTAATTTCATGCCTGAAGAATTCTTTGCCACAAGAAAAAAGGGGTGACTGATTTTCTTTTTGCAGGAAAGTTGACTGGACAGGGCCTCAGGGAATGGGGACAAGTTATAGAGGAGCATTGGGATGAGAGCCGGAGCTTTGCCTAGTGGACAGTAGTAACCAGGTGCTGACCAGTCTGGCTGTGATCCCCCCACCCCCCCAGCCTCTTCTGGGAAGAGAGGTCCTTAAGCAAGACTGACATGAATGGACAGTTTGACTGGTGGGCCTCTGCAATTTAACTCTAGAAATGGATGTTCTAATCATGGTGACAGATAAAGGATCTAGAAAATGTATAAGCAAGGTTTTTTGTTGTTGTTTTCACCCCCTTTAGAAAACAGTTTGACAAATAATTTCATAGAACACATATGAAGTGAGCAACAGACTTAACTCACCTTCTCGGGGGCCTCTCCTCAGGGTCTGTCACTCTTCAAAGTCACCCCCAAGACCCTGGATCCCTAATCAAGGCATCAAGTCCATTCTTCCCTCCAGCCTCTGTCGTGGGCTGTGTGTGGTTTGAAGGACTCTGACACAGAGCTACCAAGCCCTAACAGGTTCCTACTGCTCTGACAAAATGCTCAAAATGTCTTTGGGAAGCAGAACTCTCTGGAAAGCTCCATCTTTGCTTGCAGACATGTTTGGGTAGTGTAATCACCTTAAATATTTCTTTTTCCACCCAAGAACAGGATCCCAAGGGGATTAGAGGAAAAAGAAGAATTCATTTCATCACGAAACAGATGGGGGTTGGGAGGTCTGCCTGGCTTCAGCCTGAGGTCAGCTGCCACTAGATGTGGACCCCCAGCCCCCACCTTTCCTGTAGCTCAAGGTAGAGCAGGGCTCTGGGTGCATCTTCAGGCCGGCTGTCTGCCTGTGGAAGGGAGTGTGTGTTGGAGGCCGCTACTGCTGTCTGTGGTTAGCATGGTGGTGGACCGGAAGTGAGACACAAGCCTGGCCTCACGTGTTTGCATGATCACTGCCTTTCTTTTTGCTCAGGCTAACCTTACCCTAGCAGCCGCAGACCTTCTCACTCTAGCTGGTCAATAAAAAAAGAGACAGGGGCACAAAGATGCTTGTACTTGATGGGAGGGAGCCCGGCCGGGCTGATGAGGACCGAGGGAAGGCAGCCTGCAGGTATCGGCAGGGGCTTCAGCAGCTGGTGGTCTTCAGCTTCCCAACCCCAAGCACACAGTGGGCTTTTTAGTATTTTGTCCTAATACAAAGAAACACACTTAAAAACCCCCAAAACAATAGTGACTGAACCTCAATGTTAGACCCAGATGATGATACACAGAAACTTCCATGTCAACTAAGAGATTCAGTTGCTCTGGGAGGAGCTAAGCTCACAAGGACTTTGATTATTTCTCAGAAGCCTCTTAACAAGGGATGAGATGACTATACCTGCTTCCCCAGGGACATGTGCAGTGTGACTTTCCTCTCTGGATTAGAAAAGGGTCCAAAAAAATGGGCCAACAATGCAGCTGAGGGATTTGGGGGATCCACTGCCAAGGAGCGCGAGTGAAGGAAGCCGGGTACCATGGGCCTCATGATGCTATCCTTGGCCTGCTGGGGAGGGGTGCCCACCAGCCTCTTCATCGCCATCGCTGCATCTCTCATGTCTGCATCAGGGCTGAAAAGTTCAATTGTGGCCTCATACTTGCAAAGCATGCCCATGAAGAGGGTTTTAATGACACTGAGAAAGCTCAAGCAGTCTGCAGGAGCTGGAGCACAGAAGGGAGAAAGTGCTTGTATCTAGGCCCCTTTCCAAGCTGGCCAGCCTCGTGGCTGGGCCTGCCCCAGATGCAAACAGCCGGGCCTGTCAGCAAGAGATAGCAGCCTTTTCATCGATGGGGGTAGACTGTGAGATCTGGTGTTGCTCCAAGCAGTTGGCTCGTTGGTGCTGTGTGGATCCTTTCTGGGTTGCAGCCAGCTTTTTGTGGCTTGCCTGAGCCTTCTTTGCACTTTCTGGGTTAGGGTGGGGCAAAATGCCACTTGTTCTTCCTGTTAGGGTTCTAGGCAGAGTATTGATAATAGAAGTGGCTGATCTGAGTTTTGATGCAGTGTGGGGCTGGGAAGAGGCCACTGAGGGTTTCCGGTTGTTGTCCTATGGACCGAGCCACTTGTTGCTGGGGGCATGTAGCAAAGTCAGGCTCTGGCAGGAAGGAGCTCTTATACCAGCCAAGAACGAACCCTCGAGCTTGGCCGGAAGAGGCGTGCACCGTGAACGCTGGGCACACTCACCTGCAGACAGAAGGCTTCTTGTGTCTCTCTTGCCCCACAGTGTTCCCTACATCCCCAGGTTGTGCTCCCTTTTCAGGTCCCTGACCCCAGGAATATGGGGAAGAGTCACCATTTCCTACTCCCTGCGTGCCCCATCTTCCCACTGAGGCTCAAGTCCCCATCCTTGAATTCTCTGCCTGGTGTGCACATTTGGTGTTTCTGCCCAGACTCCAGGGCCCCACCAAGTCACCAAGCAGTCAGCCCAAGTCAAACCCTCTCCGGAACTTAGGTCCCTGCTTGGCAACTTACTGTATTCTTGTGTAGCTTACTTTTCTCATCTGTAAAATGGGGATAGCATCCCTATTTCATAGGGTTGTTGTAAGAATGAAAGAGATATTGGGTTGTCGGAAAAGTCATGATGCATTTTTGTAACGAAAAACATAGAAAAAATACATCATGACTTTTCTGACAACCCAGTAATATGTGAAAGGGGTTCAGAACAGTGATGGGCCCGTTGTAAGTGCTCATTAAATGTTAGATATTGTTACTGTTGTTATTAGATTTGCACACACAAACATGCAAATGCATCCCAGCCCCACTCCTGACACATCTCAGCCCTTTCTTGCTGAGTCACCCCTTTTGTACACAACACTGAGACCTTCGAATTAAAATGCATTTCAGTCCTAAGTGTTGTTTCCCCTTTAAAACAAATGCTTCTACACAATAGTTGTTCCATTGCCTCTGGTTTTCTAACTCCCCTCCCCCCCCTCCCCCCAGGGCCATAAAACTTATCTCTGTGGGTATTATGAAACTGTTGAAGTGAATTCATTGGAATTTGTTCAAAAAATTCTTTTTTTTTTTGTTTATTAAAAGGAGAAGAGGCTGATACAGAGTAAAAAACAATCAGGTAACCAATTCCCCCAAATCAGGGGGCCTGTTTAGAGGTGTGATCCACCTCTCTCCTCTCCTCCCCTCCCCTGAGATGAGAAACAGACAAGGGCGGGGCTCATGA